ACCAGAGGCCTGAGGGCGAAGTGTGGGCGCTTAAGACGCGGGAAAAAACGCCGGTGTGCTGGCACAAGAGATGGGGAGCAGGGTGGACTCAAAGTCGTACACCTGGTAGTATGTGTGCAACTCTGAGTTGGACACAGGGGAGTGGTGGTGTGATGAGGAGTAAGAACTCAGCTGGAGGAGCCAGGGCTCATAACCTAAGAGATCCTGTACAGAGGACTCTCAGTCTAGTGGGAAGATCACTGACTGTATTAGGACTATACCTGTACAGAGGACTCTAAGAACCATATGAGTACAGTATAGTATGGGAATAGAAGATGAACATACCTCAGTCTAGTGGGAAGATCACTGACTGAGGAAAGGAAGGAGCGAAGCCAGCACTGTCTACAGCGCTGGCAGGTGGCAGTGCTTGTCTACTATAACAGGAAGGTAAGGTAATCTAATCTAATCTGACACGTCACCTGACCGCATTCCGACAGTATTTACGAAGCGGAAATCATTGGATCCATTCTTGGAACGGAGCTTATCAGACGCGAGCGGTGAGGGGTGTGCGGGCCATCGGTAGCACTCGACAACATGTCCTCGATAGAGGCATCAGCACAGATACGTCCACGGCCCAGTCATTACCTCACTGACTATTTTCATGACAGGATGTCTGCCCTCTTTGACAAAGGGAGAGTTGAGGCGAATTCTCCATTCACGCTGCGCTGGGTGCCAGGGCACGTTGGAGTAGAAGGGAACGAGCTGGCAGACTCTGCAGCCAAACGCGCAGCCAAAGGGAACTCAAGCGCTATGAAGGCACTCCCTCCACTCCTACGTCGGCCCCTCCCTATCAGTGCGACCAAGCTCAAACAAGCACACCTGGACACTCTACACAAGCAAAACACAAACCAGTGGACGGGCTCGCTACGGGGTCGCAAATTCCTACCTATCGACCCAACTCTTCCCTCTCCAACGTACATGAAGAAGATCAGACCACTCACTCGCCGGCAGGCTGCCGTCCTCTTCCAGCTTCGATCCAGCAATGTACCCTTGCACGACCACCTTCACCGGATCGCCTGAGCAGACTCAAGAACCTGCCCCAGCTGTGGGCTCGCCCCGGAGACTGTTTTCCATTTCCTTCTCCAGTGTTCCACCTATGCAGCTGACAGGGCCCGGTTTCTCTCCAAGCTCGGTCGACGTGGACGCACCCTGGCGACACTCTTCAACTCACCTACTGCGATCCGGGCGCTGCTGAACTATGTTGGCGCAACGCGTCGCTTTCAGCACACCTTCGCAAACGTCACGCCAAAAGAGCCTGTCCAGAGACGGAACACGCAGCAATCCAGAAGAAACTAGACAATGTTCACGTCTCATACACACAACAGCACTTACTACTATAGTCACCGTCATCGGCTCATATATCCGTGCTCCCTAATCCCTTGGACCTACGCGTTGCGGGCGTCCGCCCGCTCTAGGGGTGGGGGAGTTCTGACTAACGGCGGGGATACCGCCGGGCGTACTCCTGACCGCGGCAAGGTGGGCGGCAGGTTTGCAACCCGCACCCTAGCCTTCAATGGCCGAGGGCAGACGGGCGGCCGCAACGCACAGGTCCTGAGCCCTGCAACCCGCTTCCTCTCCACTTAGCGTACCCCCTAGTTCCACCTCTCTCCGCCAGTGCCCCGACCTTCCCCTCGCACCGTTTGTAATTGCTACTTCCCCTCCACACCTCTAGCCTGCACGAGCCTTACGCTCGCTTATGTACAGCCGAGAACATCAGGAAAAACTCCCTCAGCTAATTGAGCTAAGCGAGCTAATTTAGCGCTAAAAAGCGCCATTAGACAATTAGTCTAATATGATAAGTCCCCATTGTTACAGCGAAGCGTGTCAGCACTCGAGGGGTCGTGTGCAGGTTATGCACAACGAGGACGCAGACTGATGACAAGCTTAGCACACTGGTTCACTGGGGGTCTGGGGGTTCGAGGTCACTAGGGGTCTAGGGAGTGAGAACGCTTGATTGGTACAAGAGGTCAAACTGGGGTGCCCAGTGCAAGACCTGTCCTTATATACTAAAGTACACGGTCGCTGACTAATCGGAGAACAATAGTCACAGGACAATAACGATGGAGAACAATAGCGAATGGGGACAAAGGAGTCACG